TCACCTCGATTGGTGATGAAACGTTTGCAACCAAATTGCCCAGCTCAGCGAACAAGCCAACGACCAAACATCCATGTCTTCGCCTTACTTGCACTTGAGGTTCACCCCTAATTTTTTGTTTTACGTATACTGTTCACTGTGAACACAACAGCGTGCAACATGGTGGACAGGAATTCCACAGGTTCAGAAATTAGAATTTCAAACAAAAGGCTATCTTTATTTGTGTGTCCACCTTCTTGCTACCTGGTACCCAATGTGCAAACTAAGGAGAGAGCGATACCAGCCAGTCGAGTGTGTTAATTTCCGTTTTCATCCATAGCAATAACCATAAACCCGCCCATGGTGTCGAAAATACATGTTTGGCTATACCCCTCCGCGTGACAACGTAGTTCTGTAACTAAGATTAAGGACGACTGGAACGAGGCATGGGAGATGGAACGGAGGGACTCAGACCCCAAGTCAAGTGTGATTATTATAATAAAATAATAATAGTAATAGAATTATATGATAAAACAAAGCTTAGCGTTGATATGGTTTAGACAAACGGAAAGAAATTTTCGCCAGTTAATTTGCCTTTAGAATTTCGTTAATACGCAGATAGCCTCCCGTCGGACCGTATGAGTAGCCATGTGTGTTGAAACTAACTGAAACTGACAAAAGCCAAACGATGTGCAGCTGTGCTACGTGACCTGTCAGTGTATACATCATTTTATTTTTAGATACTGCTTTTTGCTTGAAAAAAGCATCATAATTGTGTGCCGGAACTTCAGCCCTAAAAGTGGAGTCTTGTACAACCGTGTCAGATTAATCTTCGTATATCTTCACTCGGTTAATGCGACATATTCAGTATGTCTGAAGCGCGATATTTGCAACGTTATTTAATCTCAACTTTGTTAAATTAGCGTTCTGTAAATATTATGTATGCTAGAGCATTGCAGCCTTATAGAGGCTTCTTTAATACACCGGTATAATGGCCAAATAAGTAATGACGACATTGGTTTGAATTGATTACGGCTAAATAAATGATTTAACACGCAGATGAAGACAACAGACAAGTTGAAGAGAAGAAGAGAAGGCTAAGAAGAGGACCATGTTTCGGATTCGCCGTAGCATTTAGTCCCCATAAAACCGCCCAATAACAGAGGCCGGAGATAGGACTCATGGATAGATAGGTAGTCCACCCACACGACTTGTTTTCGGAATACACTGGTGGTAGTCACGGTGGTACACCGAGGTAGTCATGAGAATGAAGAAGGTAGCAAACAAAGCTTGTTTTCTGCTATTGTTCCTCTTGGCTAATACATCACCAGTCTATATAGTTACAGAAATCACGTGAAAAAGGTGAAGATCGAAGTTACATACACTTTAGAGAAATAGAAGTCGAAGGAAGGGGGGTTGGGTGAGGGGTAGGTCAATGGGTCATGACGTCAATGTCAGACAGACTTGTGGGACCAGATGTTTCGTAGGCCAGTTCAATTTCAGAGGTCGCACAAGTTTCTTTGGGATGCAAAGTTGGGGAGCGAGCAGTCGGATTCCAATCGCTTCTGCGATCGATAGTAGTTTGTATCGTACCAGTCATGATCGGTTCAGAGGTACCCGGTATATGATGGTGAAGGCTTGCTCCTTGTCTACGACATGACTGGTTTCGGTCAAATGTGATGCAAACGCACTTGAGCCTGGTTTCTTGCCACTACCACTCAGAGATACAGGATTGTGTTCTCGCATTCTGTCTGACAAATACCTTGTCGTACGACCAACGTATGATGCCCGGCACGAGCATACGAATGAGTACACACAAAAGCTGGTGGTAGAACGTGGCAATTTGTCTTTCAAGCAGAATCTGATAGTGGGGCTGGAGTTGAAGCTCAAGCATAGATTAGCGGCCAAGTATGCCGTATCAACGGAGTTTCTAAGCCTTCTGGTGATTAGTTCAGCAACTGAGTCACCTTTGAACGGAAGCTTCATGTATACGGGCTTCTTTCTAACAGAAAATTCCGTAGGTTTGGGTTGAATGGCTTCGATAGTCTTGAGTACGAACCTTTCAGGATATCCGTTCTGCAGGAGTGTACGTCCCAAGAACTTTAGTTCCTCTTCTAAGCAGTCGAGGGTGCATATCTTCATTACTCTCTCAGTCAGGCATCTGATTAGGTTGTGTTTTTGTTGCAACGTAATGAAGCTATCAAAGTGAATATACTGACATTTCCACTTTTGCTTTCTGTGGATCTTTCGTTCTTTGAACCCGTCAGTCTTCCGTTTAGCATCGAGGAAACTTAACCGTCTGTTCTGTTCCGATTTGATAGCAACCTTGATATTAGTATGCACCGAATTGAAACTGCTTAGTGCGCCTTTTGTGCTGATAGTTTCGTCGGCAAGTACGAAACTGTCGTCCACAGAGCGACGATATAATGTTAACCGTCCAATGAGTGACTCTAATTTTGAGTCTCTACCTTGGTTATGAAAAAATCTGTCAACATGGGACCTAGAGAAGACCCCCTCGCGACCCTGTCCTTCTATCGATAAATTTGATTGTATAAAGTGAACTGAACATTGTAGGTACAAAGGAACAGGAGTTCCTTAAGATCCGAGATGGGAATTCCAATATCCTTACTGTTGCACTCATTCAAGTCAAAAACATAGTCTATTGCCTCATCTCGGGGAAAGATGAGATAAACAAAACATGCTCTTTGGCGCCATTCTGAAGCGTGTGGGTTTCATATGTCTTGTCTGTTTGGAACCCTGTCAGCGTACAGAAAGTCCAGTGAAATCCATCAACGTGAGCTATTCTTACTGGGACTTTTGACCGCATCAACAGAATTATCCAAACTGTGATCCACAACGATACCAGCGACTGATCATATCGATTATGCTAGGTTTGAAACAGTGAAATCTACTTGTAAGGCGATTCTTATCACAGTTCATCATACAGCTCTATGAGCGCAAACACACTGCGGCACTTCACTAAACTTTCATTAGTCCAGACAAACAACACTCTCTTGACTGCGGTTTTCTCTCTGCTCAAATGTGTCAACCCGACATTGTTCGTTGAAGATCGCTGAACGCCTCCGGATGCTAGAAATGAGGCGTTCTAAATAGCGGGCAGAAGAAAACCGTGGCTGAATTAGGCAGAATGACAGCGCGATTGGTCGAAACTCGCTGAGATTCGTGGGGTACGCGCCACTAATGACCTACAGTAAAGAAGATAAGGCTGTATAGTGCTTCTGGGCAGTTACACATTAACTAGCTCCACTGACAGGATGAAATCTCAGCTGAAATGAGGCATAATTACCATTTCATCAACGTGCTAGAAATCCTTGGTCTCAAGACACATGACAGGACCCATAAATCACTGTACGTAGTGATACTGGTTGTTTACTAGCTAACTGAATATTGCTCTATCTCGGCTTCGAACCTTGAGCATGACCTTAATCTACCTCCTGGAGGTTATCCTCACAGTGACCTTCACATTTTCGCTGGATGTCGCAATACCCGTTGGTGTGGTATAACAAGCGATCGATATCAGTGCATGCTAGTCACTGAGTTCACGAATCTCACCTTGAGCACTCGTGAACAAATGTGTCACTTGCACAGAGGTAACCATGCCCAGAGTGAGTCAGCAATGTACTGCGCAGAGGGCGTCGTCCTTAGCTAGTTTCTTGCTTGGCAGTAATACCAGCGTCTGCCCAACATTGCTTATGCACTCGCGTGGCTTTGAAGAGGCAGTAATTCACCTGTATTGCATTTATCTCTTGCGGGCCTGAATTTCCGAGCCGGTTTTACTCCTGAAACTGGTTGATCTGGAGTCGTTATACCTTGCCTGGGCGGGACTGTTCAAGCAGTGGCAACGTCTGGGTTTTTCGTTTCAAGGAGAGAGAAATCTTAGAAGAAACCTTCTCTAAACGCTTTGTTACACAACTGGTAGTTCTGGTTTAAAAGAAAGCTGAAATTCAATCGATGAAAGTAATATAAGCGCCAAGTTATAAATCCCCCCTTTTGGGGACACCTATTTCGGTACATTAGTACGTGATACACTAATGTGAAAACACGCGAGCATTTTCGGCAACCAATTCTTAACCTCAGGCAATGCAACCTACATCCTTCGGGGTTTACAGAGTGATCAAACGTAGATATTTTGTCTCATCCATTCTGTGTTCACTCGTCTGGCTTCAGTTAGTTCACGCTGGTGGGATCAGACCACTTGTCCCACCTATATTTTTCTCTCCAATCCCACAAATTAAAATTAATGCCTAAACCCGCACTTTTATCTACCTACCATGTGTCCGCACTCCAGTATACCGTCAAGGAATGAACCAACTCTACGCCAAAATCCGAAAACGAGTTCGTTAGCAAATAGAATCCCCACAAGACTATCGCCATCATAAATTATAGACAAAACGCCATTTTGTATTGCAGCTTGCTGTTTCATAGACTTACCCCAACCGGAGAGAATCAAGGTTTAGTTACACTCAGTGGCATCTGTATGTATATAAACGTCAGCTGTTCAGGTGTTCTTAAGGGATATCGGAGCCAGGAACATTACACAAACGACTTCTGACCGTCTAAGTTTCGGTGAGTGAACTCAGTGGCGGCCTGGTAAATCATACCTGGGAGGCGACATGTGGTATCCTCAAATCGTGTTTGGGGTGCATGAAAAATCACACGTGTTGGGATATTTATCCCAATGACTTTAAAACATTATAGCTGGACTTGTTCTGTAAAAGCCATACAGTCAGATAATTTTGAACAAGAGGGTTTACTGCACGATTGCTAAACCGATGGATTCACCGCTAGATCTGAAGACAACACTGCGCATACGCAATCAAATTGACCAGTGAATGACCACAAAATCGAGAAGTGTCAACGTAACCAATCTACTGAATGAGTACACGGCACCGGCGGTTGACATCGCCTTGATTTTTTGAAGAAAAACCAATTCCCGGCTTTCGTAAACAAGTCATTTTCTGGTTATTGAAGTGTCGAAATTTTTGCGCCCAAAATTTCCATCATTTTGAACAACTTTCGGCAAGAATGGAGTGATCAAAACACAAAGAAGAGAGCAAGTGACAAGGGTGGTCACTTTGAAAATAGTCAATTTTCTGTGCGCTACTCTGATTGGTCAAATTCATGTTTAAATGTGTGGAGTGTGCAATGGCGAAAGGAGCTGCTTTTTTACCGTTGATTACTCCTACTCACCTAGAGAGTGACTTTTGGCCGCAAACTCGGCTAACACACACGGATTGTGCGTTGATTCATAAGACTCGTACACAAAGGCATCCTGCACACTGTGACAGTTTGCCATAAGGTAGTTTGACTTGCTTAAAGACGACCCTGAGAAGCATGAAGTTCAACTGTCCGGTACTTTTCTGATTTGTAGAAGTGAAGAGAAAAACGTGCGTGTCGTTTGTGTCCAGTCATTTATGCACGTGATTGCCTTCAAGTTTCGTCAGTGTGTACCTGGCTTCAGAATGCCGAACGACACTTGAAGACTTAGATCGACTGATCCTCCATTCGTATTTGGTCTTCTGGTTGTCCTAAATCTGTTTTCGTCGAGTAATCTTATCAAAACTAGGATCTTATTTTTGGGTCTTTGAGGAACATGCACATCTCTTCAGACGCGTCACTCCTATGTGGCATCTGTGAGGTGGTTTCAAAGAGTTTGTTCATCCTCAGTCGATCAGCGATAACCAGTTCTTCTCAGTAGAATTTCGTCGGTTTTCCAGTCACTATTCCACTGCTCGTTTCAAGCCGATAGGCTGACATGAGCGATAATTCATTTGGTACTTGAGAACAGTGCAATTTCGATTCACACAAATATCAAAGCGGAGTAGTTCGTCTACTTTGACGACGCAGTCAACAGACCAGTTTCTTTTTTAAACGCAAATAACGTACCGCTGCACACAGAAAGAATCCAGAACATTCGTCATTCCATCCCTCCGAGTTTCCCAGAGGAGTTTGACCTATTTAATATGGTTCTGCATGGGCTGAGATAATGTCAAGGCGCCCACACCAACCAAAGTCTTTGGCTCAAAAGTCTAATCGCAAGGCAACGGTGTTTGGCGGAAAATGCAAATGCACTACCATTTTTACGAAACCAGTCGCCACATGTTCCAACCCCCAAACTGCAGGACCAGGAGACTAAGTTTGTCAGAACTGTAACCATTGACAAACCTGCAATGAGATACACTGTGAGAGAGTGGGTTGGCAGATATCCCAATAGAACTCTGAGGGTAGCCGGTGTGCGCAAACCGTCACGCCACGGGAAGACCCAGTCTCTTCGTGACGGAGCACTGGAGCGTCTTACGTGTCTTGGAAGTCGCATTAGTTCTGATTGTAGTGTGACAGAGTAGGTCAACTCACGAATCTCCAAGGCCCAGGTCGCGTTGGCTGATTTCAGACACCTATGGTGTCAAAGTGGTGTAACCCTGAATCAAACTACAGTGCGGGCTGTTTTGTTGTACGGCTGTAAAACTTGGTCTGCTCGAGTAGCGGAACTGAAGCGTCTTCCGGTGTTTGACAATCGCTGTCTCAAAACCATAACTTGTGTGGGTTGGTGTCGGCGAATCCATAACGAGGCTATTAGAAAGAGAGATTTTAGTTATTCATTGAAGAATGTGCCCAGCACCAGAAGCTGCGTTTGTTGGGACATGTGTTGAGTATGCCGAACCATCGTTAGCCGAGGATAGCGCTGTTATACATGCCCAAATCAGAGTGGCCTAAACAGAGAGGTGAACAACCCTTGTCTTGGCAGAGAAGTATGAAGGAGATCACGAAACGCTTGGGTGCCTTCAGTGCTACTCGCCTTCTAGGATGGAGGCCGCGCAATCCGCACTGTGCCTGGTTGCAGGCACTATAAGTTATGGCTTCTAACGGATGTCAGCGGCGGTCTTGTTGTTAGTTTCTTACCAAATCGTCTGAATGAGTGTCTGGAGAATGCACCTCGGAATATTGTAGGAANGAATGCACCTCGGAATGATTGTAGTAAGCTAGCATATAATCCCTTCCCCGTCCACCTTCACTCTTTCCTTCACAACAAGGCTTTCAAACGAAGTATGGTTGGTCAGCAGCGAAGCATCGGTGCTGAACACCGATGTCGTGCTGTCCATGATGATGATGATGATGATGATGATGATGATGATGATGATGGTGATGATGATTATAGTCCCAGAAGAGTATTATCCAAGGTTGATAGGATAGGTGAGAACACAACGACTTTGTTTGTTTGTCTGCGTGGTCCTTGAGTTAGGGCTCAATACGTGATGCGCCTTTGTATGTGATTAGGTTGGTACGTGGATGCAAGCTATCAGTAATCCCACACAAACGTTCTTGAGAGAACAGCCCTGTCACTGGTGTGCAGAGTGATTTCAAATGGATGTTAAGAATGGTTCAACTTGGCGTAAAAGGATTCGCATTCGTTTGTCAACAAAACGTGTTCTTTCCCATATACTACACTGATCAAGATGGAACCCAAACGCCCCACCAATTAACCGCTTACATCCTGAAGTTGTCGGACAGACCAACCTCCGGGGAAAAACCGTTGAAGGTGAGTAGGGGCAGTAAATTACTGCTCATGTCGTTCTGCCGGTACTGTGGCACAACAAGAGATATAGCCACGAACACCAGAACGCTCGATTGACCGCATAACCAAATAAGAAACACTCACTTGCACAAAGTTTAGAAAGCCTACTCATTGTAGTCAGGTACATTCCCGGACTTGTGAACGTGTTCCTAAACTATATAAAGTTGTTGTGACTAGTTGTGTCAATAGTGTTTTTTTCTGGTTGAACACCATTATCTCATGTCATTTTTCGTTAAATGTTGTGTAGGAATAATTGAAAGCCGACCAGAAACATTGATGTTTTACGTCCTTCAAAGTAGTACCGATATTCTGAATCGTTTGCTTGGCATTCGAACTAAAAGCCGCACAAAATGCTCAAATGATAAAAGCCCATTTATCTTGAAAACATTTGCTAAGTGGTTACATGGATTGCACAGCACTACACTATAAATATAATCAGTTGCCTGGAAACATCAAAACCGAGAGATTCAGCTGGGTTCCAGATGAGTCTCTCGAAAAACCAAATTAGTTTGCAAATGAGTGTATATTGCTAATTTGGTTTCAAGTGGAACATAAGGTTGATGGAAACTCGGGGACTGCGCCTACCTGATGAGCCCCAAAGAGGGCGAAACCGGTCGTGGGCTGTCGAGCAGTTTTCAGCAACCTTATGAGTAGTGCATTACAAAATAGATATGATCCTGATGTATGTCGTAATCCGCACTGAGGCAAAGACGAAAAGTGTTTTTTTTCAGGATACCGTGATAAATCACGGTTCAATGTGTGGTCTCTCCCTCTTAATGTAGAAATATTTTCTATGCCAATTACAACGACATTTCCGGTTTGATCTATCGATGTAGTACACAAATCAGATTAGTAAGAGATGACTTTTCTAACGGGATGAGAACAAATTCAATAGGAACTTGTTTTTTGGAGTCGGGTGTTTCGAAATCTGGTGTGACTGCCCAAGGAGGATCTTTTCGACCCTAACGGAGATGTACATGCTGGTCGGTGTTCACATTACACAATGGCTTTCGTGATTACGAAATACCTGCCGACTTCCGTATCTGCTTACTAATTAGTGCTGCTCGGAAAGAGTTTCGGCTGCCATTCTGATCTGGACGCGTGTACCGTCTTCTAGTGAGGGTGATGTTCTTTCAAGTCATATTGTGGCTTTGTGGCGTGAGATAATTCCTGCAATAGAAATATTCGCTATCAACCACCTGGTGTAACGGAGATACTACTGATGTGGCGTGTGAGTAGTATGTTTTCCCGTAAATCCACTTTGCGCCCGTTGAGAAGTGAGATCTATTACGGAATATGTGGAGTTGCTCTGTAGCATTTGGTTGCAAGTGAATAACAGTCAACGAATATTCAGGAAAGTTCAGAAAGACGCGTTCAAGTAGAAGATGGATATTCAGTTTTTGTAAACAAGTTGCATATGAGCTTTTTACTTCGCTGTCCAATAGTCTGTAACTATTCAGCTGGCATTTTCTAAAAAAACAGCTCCTCAGCGTAGGCCTTTTCTCCTTCACTGGTAGTCCTGCTATCGTCATCGACCTTCGCAAAGTAGCTGAAAAATTCAAATGAATGAGTACGTGGAACAAGCTTGTTTTTTGACGACATCTGGTCAAGCAAGATTAAACAGATGTGAAAAATTATTATGAATAGACGAAAATTTCAGAGTTCTGTTAATCGACGCCAGCATCTAGCTCGCATAACAATGGCAGAGCATCTGATTCTGCGATCCCTTTCCGTGTTCACTCCTTCTTTTTATTCTTGGAGGCAAGGTGCGTCGGCCGTACGTCCAGATACCCATCAGAACGCGTGTAGGCTTCGCCCTGGCTGAATAGCTCAGTCGATCAACCATACGCCCATAACTTACCGAATACATACACCAAGAATGTGGTTAAGCAGGAGCGGTTAGAACAGCATTTTGCCAGCTTTCAAAGTGACTATACTCTTATTTTCAATCAAATGGAAAAAGTTTGGAACCGATTGAGAAGTCGTCGTTTCACGAGAGCTTGGTAAACAGTGATTAGTTTTTATTTGGGCAACCTTTGGTTTCTGACACAAAGCTTCATCAGGCCAAGTGAACTGATCACCAAGGTGGCCATGTTTTAATGCAGACGGAGAACCAATCAGTAAGGCATTTTCATTTTACCGCACTAGTCAGCTTTTGAGTGTCAATTAGCAGCTCTTGTCAGTCAGAATCTTGCGTTGATGAATTGGAGGAGTTTCAAATTAATTCTGATCGGATTTGGTTCCTTACTGTTCCACTTCAGTGTGCCTCAATTGATGACTCACCGCGGTTGGCTCTGATAGATTTCATTGGCCTTTGTGGGGTTGCAATTCCATGTCAACCAGGGACATCAGGGGTCATTCGAATGATTCTAAACACGACCAACATAACAGTAGCTTTCTAGACGGGAAACACTCTGCGCTCCACAATGGTGCAATTGAAGAATCACCTCACGGCAAAAAGAACTAGGAACTATGTCTACAAACTTAATTGTAACGACTGCAGTAAGGCCTATGTAGGATAGACGGCCAGGGAACTTCACATCAGAATCGAAGAGCATGTGGGAAAAATAAACAGGCCGCCGAGAAACGCGGATGAATATCGGTAATTGCAGAATATGCACTTGACAGGGAATACGGTCCACGTCACAGAGACTGATGGCCGAGGCGGCAGAAATAGCCAAGTATCCCAGTGTTAACAGAATGGAGCACGTGGAACTAGCAAGCGTGTGGAGAACGGTTTTAGATCAGTCGAACTGACACGTGTAGGTGTGCGGCCATCAGATGTAGTAGTAGTCCCCGTCTGAATTTCACTTGACCTCACCACAAAACTCAAAACTGATCTAATGCGCTAAGCTGAAGAGGACTTACTGATTGGTTCCCCGTCTGTCTTATAACCTGGCCAATTTGGTGACCTGCTCACTTGGCCTGATGAAGCTTTTGTGTCAAAAGCGAAACGTTGCCTAAATAAAATCTACCGATTAGTTACCAATCTCTTCTGAAACGATGACTGTACTTTGCTTCACAGCCATCTAACTTGCCAGGAACCAACTACTGGGTCAGTGTTCTGCCGTAATTATCCTACCATCTACCCGAGGTTACATGTCTGTTGAGCCGGGGTGTAGTGACCGACTGCAGTAGACGTCTTTGACCAATGCAGTCTTCCTTTCTGATGACAAGTCTTGGGATAAGAAAGGGACTGAAAATTGTTTGGTACTTACTAGAATGTGGGTGTGTTTCCTGAACGACTAATTAGCCTCCAAATTGAGCGCCATGTGCAACAGTGGCTTAACAAACAAGCACCTGCGTACAGAGGACAAACGTTGACTATTTGTTCAAAAAATGATTTCATGCTTCACATAGCCCTTGACGCCTTCCCAGGAAGTGAGATCAACGAGGCACCACGCATGGGACTGTTACGGGCCATCAGTCGGCTTTAAAAACAAGGGCAGCCTGCTTTAATATCTTGATTCGGCTCGCGTGAACTTCTTCTTTGCAGTGTTGATCTAACCGGCTGGTTTTCTGGGATTCCGCTGGTTCAGATAAACAGAAATTATGCCCGTAGGCCTTACTCGTTTCTCCAAAGTACGCCACCCCAAATGTACTTCCCCGCCAAAAAATGTCGATCAACCGATCCCCAAACTACATTCGGATTGGTGATTGCACGAATATGTGAATACTAGCAATTTCTGGTTTTCATTTGGAATTCCTTCTTTTGAAAGACTTTATCATATTCACTTTATGTATACCTGCAACTAGCTGTTGGTCACTCTTCCTGTCTGAATACGTAGTTTACAGTGTTTTTGGATAATCTTGGGTGTGGGAGCGACTGGGTGGTGCCGTCTTCAAATGTTCTCCGATATGCTTGCAAGTGTGATGTCTTTGATCTGATCAGTGGCAGATTTCGAGGCAATTTAGTCACGTCCCCGTCAGTGGTGATGAGGCTGTTTACGGAATGAATGTCCTTGTTGTTCTAGCAGTCATCAGATCTGACATTCCGTTTGTGACCTCAACCTGACCTGGATGTACATTCAGCAGGTTCAAATGATACTGACAAATCTATAGATTTGCCCGTTAGGCTCGGTGCTACTCATGTCAGCGTATGTACCAAATCAGGTAACGATTTGAGAATTATCGTTTTGACGAACCAATGTTCAACCATTCATTCATTCATTCATTGAATCTCCGCTTATTTGTTGCTAGGGTACTTGTTCTCTCTCTCTTAGAACGCATCAGTTCACACAGTTAAAACCGGGTGTGTAAACTGTGAATTCATGCAGAATTGATACGCAGTCGTTTCTCATTCCATGCAGTCCGGGAACTGTATGTTTGTTCATTCAGCCTGGCCATGTAGATAGATGAGGTGAATGCATTTCAGTGACGACAGAAACACCCGAGAATAAAGCGCCGTTTGGTCCGGTTCGCACTGTGACGTAATGTAGGCGGACAACTGTGGTCCGTTGTACAAACTTCCCGTCAGTGTTTCCTCTTTGATACATGAGAAAATGTGGTCCTGTGAAAGAAAAATGGTCTATCTCACGGCAACCAATGCCGTCGATTGCGTAACGTGCAGTCTCGTCATAGGCTTCAAGCCTCGACCAAATCGATGATTTCGGCCAACATGTCCGACCTATTCGGAATCACGATGCTCTACCAGATGCTGAATGATTCCTTCTAGTTGTGCGACAATTTGTGTGTCCCAGGGCACGGATTCCAGATGTTTCAAATCAGGTTTTTTGGGGCATGAATGCAGGAATTCACCTGAATTATCACGTATGAACAGGCAAACGTATGAATACCTGGGCGATGAAAGTGGTGTGCCCGTTGCCTCGAATGTTGACCCACGAATTCTTGTGTCAAACGATTCACTGATTTACCAACTGGTTAGGGCTCCAAGTTAAAAGTGAGACTTTACGTTGTTGTTGTTGTTGCCTGAACGAAACCCATCTATGTTCTTATAAAGGAGCATGTTGAATTACTTGGCACGACAACCGTTAGAGGATTTGTGATCATAAGCGTCATCATCAACATCATAATCATCATCATCATCGACATCATCAACTTCACCATCATCTTCATCTTCATCACCATAATCGTCAACATCATCATCACCAGCATCATCATCAACATCATTATCATCAACAACATCATCATCATCATAATCATCGACATCGTCATCATCATTATCATCAGCTGTAAGAACCACGTCCTTCTCGTGCAAAAGTTGTAACTGCCACAGATTCGTTCACCGATGATTCGGGGAGGTTGGGTAGNCATCATCATCATCATCATTATCATCAGCTGTAAGAACCACGTCCTTCTCGTGCAAAAGTTGTAACTGCCACAGATTCGTTCACCGATGATTCGGGGAGGTTGGGTAGGTAGCTGCACATCGGAGGCGGGAGCTGATAAACTGGTGCTCTAATACAGAACTGCCAGTGGAGAGTTGGTTTGGGGGGTAGGGAATGAAGCTATGCATTGAATGCATGAGCGCTTGACCTGTGTTGCTTTCGACGGATACCTCGACGTGTTTCGGTGTGCCACATTGTGCACCTTTCAGACATGCGTTTCGGATGCATCCGTTTATGATAAGAAAAAAGATGTACTTTTCTTCAAAATTTCATGCGCACCAAAAGGGTAAATCTACACCAGGCAAAACCTTCCGCGGCAACCAATGCTTCTCACTCGTGGCTAGCTTGAGTAGTCGCCAGTCTACTGAATGCCATGTCCTGAAACATAAAAAATGGATTACTCCCTTGTACAGTTGTTATTCTATTAGACGAGCATTGATGAGTCACTTGGTAGTATTGCACATGGTAGTATGCACTCATATGCAATACCAATTCAATTTGGACGGGAGGCTCACCTGGAACCCAGTTGAACCCGTTGTTTATGATGTCCTTTAGCAAGTGAATGCACCTCGCCAGGTCGCGTCGTGTTTCAGTTGGTACGCTGTTCGAATTTTCGTAATAGATGTTATCATCGTTTGCAGCACTGAGCCAGTTAGAGGGTGACTGGCGTTGCGATTGGTCTGGATATCAGCAGAAAACAGAAAGGATTTTGACGTCAAAGATCAGAATTTTTAGATCAGTCTCACGAATGTGCAAATACAGGTGGTGTAACGACCACATTATGCGGGGGGTTTCGGAAGATTATTCAATCTGGTGTCCCACCTGGTGAATAAAATCCTTGCCTTGTGAGGCAACCAAGGCATTCAAGACTCAAAGTAACGTTGTGGCCCGATAACCACGCCTTGGTTTAAACTTTAGGTGAAGTTTCACGCACAAACTTGGGCTTGGAAGTTGCTTTGTTTGCACACATCGCACATTTACGAGAAATCAGGTGCGGAACTTGGGGTGCCCTTAGGCAGCAACTCAATACTGAGTTGCGCCTTGATAGATTTAGACAAGTTTGCAGACACAGTGATGACCGTTGTCGCCGTCGATCCACATATTTCATAAAAGTCTAATTCATTAGCGGTTCTCAAACACAAAATATATCTGGCATACATATATTTCGAATCAATGTAATTAACGTCGAACTTTTTTGAGTAGGGTGAGCAGCGAACGCATTGCCCTGGCGTTCTTGTGTCAGAACAATTTATTGCGCAATAAAAAAACTCTTCGGCTGTGGTAACCTTGCAATAAACAGCGGCGATGCAGCCCGCAGAAAGCTGAGTTACTACTACTCCTAGACAGGAGAAGTCGAGATGCCAGGGGTGAGTTCGAACCACTGACCCACCTTCCGGTCATCAAGTCAGAATTCAGCTCCCCGGAATACCTGTATGGATAGAGTTCAACAGAGCCTTTCCTGTGTCAGTGAATGTATAAACAAATAAAGTGGGGTTGGGTAATGATGCCGCCATAAATATATAATATTGTATACATTCTATATTAT